GAGAGCATGCAGAGAAGGTCAAAAGGAGGGTCCTATAATGTGGGAAAGAGCTGGGACTGAACAAAACTGCTGACCCCTGGACAGTCAGCTCTAAAGAAACCTAGGGCTCATGACAAGAGGAATTTAAGTAAAAAAAATGCCACAACAATTCCTGAATTGTATTTCATTTTCATTGTCACCTTCCTTCTTTAGGCTGAACCTAATATCTTAGCCATGTGGTTATCTTTAGGTCACCTCAAAGATATTAAGAAGAGTGAAGAGAACTGACATAACAGGCAGAAGGCCTCCCTCAGGCTGGGGAGCAGTGGGAACAGTGTGGGCCTAGATGAATTCATACCAGGGTTCAAGTACCAGCCCTGTCACATTCTAGCCACGTGATCTTGGGGAAATTACCAAACACTGTGAGCCTCAGGTTTCTCTATGTAAAATAAGTTTGGTAAGTCCTGTCTTGTACAATTGCTGGAAGATATATAATGTGAGTAAAGCATGTGGCACAGTGTCTGACATACATTGGAACTTAATGAATGGCAGTTGTAATCAAATATGATTATAACCCCAGAGGCTGGGGTTATAATTTTAAAAAAATTCAGCGCTTATTTTAATGATTCAAAAATCTGGGAAAATATGTAGCTGAATACATCACAGAATAAGTACTCAATCAATAATTCAGCTTCCTAAATAAAACTCAGTACCTTGTCTTTCTGAAAGGATATATTGTATACTTTGGATAAGGTAAGACTTTTGTAGCTGGAATGCAACTGAAAGATCATAGATTTTGAGTGAAGAACAAACTCCTTTTCACCTTCCCAATTGCTCATCCATCCAAACCACTATTTCTATTTATGCTTCACTAAAAACCTAGCCCTTGTTTACAGTTCCCCATGTTACATTCAAAATAACCCAATTAAAAGTCCCGTCAATGGAATGGGCTCTGGCTTTCCCTGGCCAGGCAAATTAGTTCCAGCCTAGAGGCTTCTGGGCACCACTTCAAGGAATTATTACCTTATTTCTCAGGAAACCCTTGCAGATGATGGGTATCAATCACTTAGTCCTTGCACTGTGTTCAAGTGCACCAGTACAAGAGCTGCAAGACACCTTCTGTTACTTCCCCATGTGGAGACTCCTCTCTGCCTCATCCTTCACCCAGAGGGAACTGCTCAGAGCAATTTTCCATTCCAGGCTTTTGTCTCACCTACAGAGAGTCTGAGCCCTGCCACCACCCCGATTCATAGCAATCAGTTCCCACAGAAGCACCTGCAGTTTCCTGAAGCCCCAAACTGCCTTAGTTTAAGGCCTTCATACTTGAAGGCTCCAACTGGAGTCTCACCTCCCCACTCTTTTAACTCATTCTTTAGATTGTAGAGAAAAATCTTTTTTTTCCCATTTATTTATTTTATTGCATTTTAGGTTTTGGGGTACATGTGAAGAACATGCAA